TGCAATGAGTCATATTCACACCCCTGCACTCCAGTCTGGGAGACAGAGCAAGACCCCGTGGAAAAAAAAAAGTTACTCCAAAACTTAATGACTTACAACAATAACAATATTTATGTTGTCCATCAGTCTGCAATTTGGGCAGGGCTTAGCAGAGAAAGGGAATATAAGGGTGCTTGTGAAAACACTTTAAAATGCAATCTTTATATAAAGTACTATAATTATATTGCACTTCTGTGATTGTAATGACTTTTCCCATTTTCTATCACCATCTCCTCTCCTCCATTCAGGCATATAGCCCAGTTCTGTGTTTATAATGCCAGGGGAAGAACATTATGAGACTGGGCAGGAAACAGAGATGGGGGGTAGTCACTAGATTGTTCACCTGAGAGAATCCTTTAAAGAGCTCATGCCAGATGCCTGAGATGCAAACATCACTGATGGAGGGATTTCTTCTGAGGCAAAACATCAACATTAAGAGAAAGAATAATCCCGCCTCCAAGTGTCAGTCGGGTCTCATGAGGAAATTCTGTATTTCACTAGGTATTTCAACAGAGTGGGTTTAATTTTGGAAATTGGCTCTCTACGTGTTGGAGGGCTAAAAGAGCAAAAGTAGGCTTTGAGGGAATAATCTGGAGGAAATAACAAGAAGTTTCCAACTGGATGACTCATGGGGAGGGATAGCAATGGAGAGAATGCCGGGCTTAGCAGACTCTAGAAGCTCCAGCTTCTAAGACCTTGCTGATAAAACAGGTTGCAGTAACGAAGACAGCTAAAACCCACTAAAACCAAAATAACCACAAGAGTGATCACTGGTCGTCCTCACTGCTACACTCCCACCAGCGCCATGACAGTTTACAGCTGCCATGACAACATCAGAAAGTTACCCTATGTGGTCTAAAAAGGGGAGGCACGAAGAATCCACCCCTTGTGTAGCATATCATCAAGAAATAACCATAAAAATGGGTGGCTGCTCTGTTTATGGAGTAGCCATTCTTTTATTCCTTTACTTTCCCAATAAACTTGCTTTCACTTTAGTGTATGGACTTGCCCTGAATTCTTTCTTGTGCAAGATTGAAAAACCCTCTCTTGAGGTCTGATTCAGGACACCTTTCCTGTAACACTGGGACTGCTGGAAAATACTGAGGCAGATGTCTTAAGCCACTGCTGCTGGTGGAACAAATTGCCAGTCCTGGGCAACACTGACAGGACTGACAGTAATCGGGAAGGAAGCCACATTTCCCTTCCTTCTGCCATTGATCCTTCTCTGCTGCATCCAGTAGCAGAATTAGCAGAAAGTTAACCAGAAAAGGAGTCTGAGAAATACAGTTTCCCGGTCCCAGAATCGCAGAGCACAGCACAGAAAGGGTGGATTTGGAGCTGAAAGGTGATAAGTAGATAACCAGCATGTTCTTGTACTGGAAAAAAAAAAAAAAAACAGTGGCTGGGCGAGATGGCTCACCCCTGTAATCCCAGAACTTGGGGAGGCCAAGGTGGGCAGATCACAAGGTCAGGAGTTGGAGACCAGCCTGGCCAATATGATGAAACCTCATCTCTACTAAAAAACACAAAAATTAGCTGGGTGTGGTGGCGCACGCCAGTAGTCCCAGCTACTCCAGAGACTAAGGCAGAAGAATCACTTGAATCTGGAGGCAGAGGTTTCAGTGAGCCCAGATTGTGCCATGGCACTCCAACCTGGGGGACAGAGCAAGACTCTGTCTCCAAAAAAAAGAAAAAAAGATACCGCTGGATTTAGGATAAAAGAAATTGGGAGTTCCTAGACAACAATCTTGCATGTTCTTCACATGTACCCCAAAACCTAAAATGCAATAAAAAAAATAATAATTAAAAAAAAAGAAATTGGGAATTAGTTAATTAGAGAGCTGAAGCTTGGTTGGTCCTGTGACCTTGTTTCCTAGGCAAGGCTTAGGAACAAAAGAAAAGAGTGCAAACAGGAAGAAGAAACTTTACAGATACATTTGTAAATGATTGTTCAAGAATGGAGTATACTCCTTCCTGTATCTTGGACCTCCATTACCCCAGCCTCTGTCAATTTAGACACACCTCCAGAAAGAAGGAAATTGTCTCAAATGGACCAAGAGTAAATTTCAGTTCCCAAAGTGAGGGATTAAAATAGAAATCCCTATAATCCCAGCACTTTGGGAAGCCAAGGAGGGAGAATCACTTGAGACCAGGAGTTTGCAACCAGTCTGGGTAATATAATGAGACCCTATCCCTACAAAAATAAAAATTAAAAAATTGGCCTGGCATGGCAGCATGTACCTGCAGTCCTAGTGACACAGGAGGCCGGGAGAGGAGGATTGTTTAAACCCAGAATTTGAGGCTACAGTGAGCTGTGATCATACCACTGTGCTCTAGCCTGGGTGACAGAGCAAGACTTTCTCTGTAAAAAAGGGGGGGAAAGAGAAGAAAGAGATCAACTTGAGCCTTTAAAAAAATGAAGAAAATTAAATTTCAGGTATGTCTGAATTTGTGGACTGATAGTTATGACCTTTGAAGTATATTTTTTAATTGTATAAAAAAACTTCAGACACAGAGAAATTCTGGGAGGATAATACCAAGTGCTCACAATTATTATTTCTAGAGTCTAAGATTATAAGTGATTCTTTTTTCTTTATACCTATCATTATTTTCCTTATTTATAATACATGTACCACTTTTATAATAAAAAGTATTTTCAAGAGCCTGTTAATGTAAATGTGACACTGTGATTTACTATTATATCATGTCTCAAAAACATTATCTGAATGGCCTATTAAAGGCCTAAATTTCCCTTTTTATTTATCTTATTTTTAAAGGAAGATTAGAAACCAGCAGGTCCTGTGAATTTCATTCCTCACTGTGTTTTCCTATGCCTCATGTACCTTCTGATTAAAAAGAAGGGTGTAGTATTCATTTTGAATTTCATTTTGGCAAAAAAAAAGTAGTTTCAATCATTTTTCTCTATAAATACTTATAAACTCTTTCCTCTGCCCATTAGCACCAGAGTCTGGCTCTATTATAGTAGTCCACAACTGATCTTGAAAATATGGCAGAAATGGTATGCTGGAAGCATTGGAGAATATGTTTTAAATGTTCAGACAAAGTTCTGTTTTAGTCAGTAAAACAGGGGCCATTGGACAAGGTCTGGGAGATAAAGATGGTTAGAGGAAAGAAGCAGGAAAAGAAAAGGAAGAGAAAAAACTGAAATTATTTAACTTTGCAAGAGGCTTGACTTCCCAGACAAACAAGGACTTGGGAATTTAAAATTTGCACCTCCCTTTAGGCATTAAGTGTTGAAATCCATTGTAAATACCATGTTATTAGTCCAAGAGATTTCTGTAGATAGCAAGATGCCTGGAATTCCAGAAGGAAGAAGTTGCATGTAAAGAAGCATTCTACTGGCATCTGTAAACTGGCCAGCACCTGAAAGAATAGAAGAAAGTCAAAACACAGATGAAAAAGAATCAGTACAAACATTCCAACAGACATCAGTATTGTTCACTCCAAAAGATATTCCTTATGTTGGACTGCATGTCCCACACTCTGAAGTTTAGGATTGGCCATAACTTGATCCATGGAATGTGAAAGGAACTGGTCTGTATCTTTTCTGGCTTTTGGGAAGAAGATCATGATCCAATGTACAACTCCCCAGGTCTCTCCTCTTGATCCAGGATTGACATCAGCCTGGATTCTTCGAGCATGAGAAACAAAACAGCGCTGCTGAATCTTGATTGACACGTAGCAGGAGCAAAAAGTAATCTTTGTGGTTTAAGTCACCAAGACTATGGGATTGTTTGTTACTGCAGCATAACCTAGTCCACCCAATTGTTACAGAAAAGGGGTCCTGATCCAGACCCCGAGAGAGGGTTATTGGATCTCACACAAGAAAGAATTCAGGACAAGTCTGTAAAGTGAAAGCAAGTTTATTAAGAAAGTGGAAGAATAAAAGAATAACCCCTGAGGGCTGCTGGTTGATCATTTTTATGGTTATTTCTTGGTGACATGCTAAACGGGGTGGATTATTTACACCTCCCCTTTTTAGATGATATAGAGTAACTTCCTGATGTTGCTATGGCATCTGTAAACTGTCATGGCCCCGGGGGGAGTATAGCAGTGAGGACAACCAGAAGTTACTCTCCTTGCCATCTTGGCTTTGGTGGGTTTTGGTGGCCGGCTTCTTTACTGCAACCTGTGTCACCAGCAAGGTCTTTATGACCTGTATCTTACGCTGACCTCCTATCTTATTTGTAGCTTACAATGCCTTCGCTGTCTGGGAATGCAGCCCAGTAGGTTTCACCCTTATTTCACCTAACACCTATTCAAGATGGTGGTGGTCTGGTTCTCATGCCTCTGATACAATGTCACCTACCATATCCATCCCCACCAAAGCACTTTAAAGAACCTATGTGTATGCAAATGTTCTCCACTGGGTGAGAAAGAATGAATGCACATGATCATTTCAGTGATTTAGGGCAGGGATTTAGACCTTTTGATAACTTTCTAGATTTAAAATGTGTAACATTTTGTTTTGCTTCCTTTTGGTAGCAACATGCTGTGCTATGCTTTTCTGAGAAATACTTTTTAATTTTTGGTTCTTATTTCCCCTTACTCTCAGTTATTTCTTTAAATCCTTTTGATGAATGCTTAATGTTCATTCCCATGAATATTACTGATAAATTTCTCTTTTTAACCATTGTCCTTTAAAATTTAAGTGTCTGTGTCTGTGTAATCTAAGCAGTTTTTTAGTTTTTATGTTGAGACATTTTATCTGGCGAACACACAATAAGTAGAAGACTCTACTCTTCTTTTCTTTAATAAGTTCCACAAGGAGCAGAACTAGTAAAAGGAAATTCGTGTTTGAAAAATCAGCCACAAGGATAGGACTATTGTGGCTATGAATTAATGAAAAAATATTTCACTATTTTCTATAAGTCAATCTTTCCTCACGATCTTGTAAAGCATTCTTCCAGGTTGATAATAATAGGCTTTTTTTCAAATTTCAAATATTTTTGAAATTTTTTTTCAAATATTCAGGTGCGTCCATCAGTAGGATGAATTTAAGAATGATTTTTACTGGGTGTGGATCTTTTTGAGAGAACTGGCAAACCAGCCAACTTTGAAGCTGCTGGTTTTTCATTAGCTGGGAGCCTAACCTGACCCCTCCACCCTGACTGGGTTTGACCTAAGTGAACACAGTCTGTCTCTGGGACACGGATAAGACTGGAGGGAAAAGATATTCTGCATGTCCTCAGCTGAGAAAAGGGGAAGGAGGGAAAGATAAGAACTGTGGTTTCAAGTATCCTTAATGGGAATTCTCCACAGTCATTTTTCATCAGGGCTGGGAGCTGTCAGAGCTTTGACTACCCCTCTTCTTCTCTGGGAATCCCTTTGTTTGGCCACTCTGGTGTTTGAACTTTGGCCAGGCCATTTTTTGTATTCTCCAGGTAACTGGGGCTGCCTTGAGACAGCCCCCCGGAAGTGACTCATGGTCCGTAAAGGATACGCCCGTCTGATGTTTCGTTTTCCTCCTATGCTCATGTCCTGAAAGGCAAGGGTGATTTTTCTCTTTTCTGTTTTCCTGGCTGTGGTCTTGCTGGCTTGGAAAGTCTAAAACGCATTCAAGCCATGGCACCAGGCATTTTCATCAGTATTTTTATTGGTTTGTTTTTTCTTTTTTGGTTATGCATACTGAAAGTAAATCAACATGTTTAAAAGAAAGAGAAAGAGATCAGAAAAGGAATAACGTTTGTTAGTGGTTTCTGGTTTTATGAGTCTGAAGGACGTGTCACATTGAGCCTCAGAATGATTTTAATTAGCTGCATGACTGAAATGCCTTGTCAGTGTGGCACATTAAAGACGTACCTTGCAGCCGGGAAGGAGAGACGCTGAAGAGAGGGGAGAGGCAGCTACAAACACAAACCACACTGCTCATTTTTGCCTGCATCTCCACGCTGCTAACAAAAGGCAATTCACCGAGGCACACTTTCTGATTCTTGGTTTGGAAAAGCTAGAGAGAATATCAATGAAGCCCCACCCAATTTTTGCCTGTTAATAATTCAGCTCCAGAAAGTAAGAAATATGAAGAACAGAACCAGTTTTTCAGTCAATAAGAAAGGACTTTTTTTTAGGAATTTAGAATCCTGTGCAAGTGGCCTTGTCTTAGCAGGGCCTTGGCCAACTCCCAGCCGGTGTTCCCTTTGCAGTAACGAAGCGTGGTAGGTTGTGCAATCATTCTGAACAGCACAGGGCTCAGAAGAAGCCCTGGATGGTCACGGTGTGCACAGAGTCTTACAGTCTCTACAGGGACCAAGAGCTGAGTCCATTTTCAGCCCCTCCACTTCTCCACTGACATAGCAATCCTCTCTGTTGGGGGACACGGTGGAAACACATGCTGAAGTTAAAGAAGCTAAACAAATGCTGAGTGTTATCAGGAAAGCTACTGAAAACATAGCAGAGAAGCTGCTTACTCGTGTTCCAAACCAGGAGGCCCCTCACTCACCAGGAGGCGTGTTTGGTGCCATTCTGGGTGCCACATCTGAGGACGGAATCACAGAGCTGGGCAAGAATTCTTTCAGGTGGGTGTCATGTAGGCCACAGATCAGTCTATTAATTACAGTTGTAACCACCCAACTTCCCATGTTCCAGTCCCCAGTTGTCCACAGAACACAAAGACTCCTCACCACTGCCTCTCCAAGGAGTCTACCAAGAAAGCACCCAGCATCGCTGGGTTGGTCCCAAGGTGGCCAGTCTTCAGGTTGCTAGAGAGTTCTTCAACATGGAAGAACTGTGGCCTCCACCCAGTCCTGTCTCCCACCTTGTCACTTAAGCCTCAGAGGAAGAGTGCCCACAGCCTCTTGTAAGTCCTGCCTGTGTTTCTGACTTCCACCCTGACCTACATTTACAAAATATTTTGTTAAAGTGGTGCATCAGCTTTTGGTCCCCAATACCCTAATTGCCAAGATGCCAACTCTGTAAAAGGTGCCATAAAGAGACCTGCTGTGTGCCCTCCTCTTCACCCTCTACTTCTCCCCTCCTCTTAGACTGTGCCTCCAAACCAACTCCTCCATCCTTCAAATACAAATGAACCTGGCCCAGGCACATCAGTGATCCCAGAAGGGCCACACGAAGCCACAATGAAGCCTTACCTTGACAAGCTCAAATGTCCCATGACTCAACCAAATCCTCACCAAATCTAGGAAGCATGAGTAGGGAAAATCCACTTTAGAATCCGAGTCAGAGGTGGCAGTACTTTTTAGTTAGTCAAAAAAGGCAGACAGAGGAGCTGAAAGGTAGACAGAGCCCTTCAGTTGTCTGTTGAATCTAGTCCAGTGTGGTCTCCACTGAACTACACACCCATAAGTATGAGCAAGACACATTCCGCAAAAAAAAAAAAAAAAAATCAAGCATGAAGAACATCTACTACATTCATGGGACCAAGAGTAGGACATGTTCTTGTTTCCTAAAAGCTCATGGAGATCCAGAGGGGAGTGTAATTTTATAATTCAAAGGAGATACAATTTTTGCTGCTCCTTCTCCTTCCAGACATCTGATAAGCAAGAACTCATTTTTATGTTCAGCTATGTGAGACCAAAGGAACTTCTCACGGTTGCCATGGGATACCTTCTAAATATGTGGTCCGATGTGATCTCCCCAAATTGCTATGCAGTGAAAATATCATAGTTTCTAAGTATATAGAATTTTTTCAATTACATAGCTAGATAAATGTGATATTTCCCCTTTGGGTTGTATTATATTGGGCTTGGCTATGTTTCAGTAGATTTCGGTAATAGAATTAAAGTCTTTCTAGCTACAGGGCATCAATAAGTTAGAGACCAGTTAATTTCGGGTTGATGATTTGAATGGTACCAACTTACTTTTTTTTTTTTTTTTTTTTTTAGCTGAGGAAATTTGTTTTGCAACAGAGAACATAAGAAATTTTCCCTGCCTGGGAGATACTCATACATACCAGATGTGCTCATCATACTTTGTCTAGCCCTTGACTACTGAACTTTCACATGGTGACTATTTGTTCAGTTGTCTTTCTCTACTGAACATGGGCTCCTGGCGGGCATGGAGTGTGTTGTTTGTCTCCATATTCCTAATGCCTAGCACAGTGACTGATTCATTAGAAGTATTCCATAAATGGTGGCCAGTGAATCAAAATGTAGGATCAATGCAGGCCTGCATACATTAATAGTCCTTTGACAAAGAGGCCTTGGAAGAAAGATACTGTTGAGGAATAAAATTTGTTCTGAATTTAAGTCTTTGCCCCACCCACAGTTTTTTGCTCTAGGGAGAGGATAACAAAGATTTAAGTGGAAACACATTTCCCCACAAATACACAGAAACCCAGAAAATAGAGTTAGGATTTAGAGCAGTGAGGCAATATCCTAATAACCTGCTGAAGCACTTTGGCTGTCCTGTCACCGTGAAGGTAATGATATTTGCAGTTGAGAAGGGATACCACAGGACATTATGTTGATCTGTATATCCATCCCTGCCCAAGCTTTCCTCTGCCACCTGCTTGCATGATACAGTGTCATTCCAGTGAGAGTGACTATCGTGATATTGCTAATATGAGGGAAAAATTAATTTTTTTAAACAAAGCATTATGCAACACCTGTGAAAGAATTGTACATGGATACTTTAAAAAAAAAAAAATTGGCCAGGTGCGATGGCTCACACCTGTAATCCCAGCACTTTAGGAGGCCGAGGTGGGTGGATGACCTGAGGTTAGGAGTTCGAGACCAGCTTGGCCAACATGGTGAAACCCCGTCTCTACTAAAAATACAAAAAAATTAGCCAGGCATAGTGGCAGTCCCAGCTGCTCAGGAGGCTGAGGCAGGAGAATTGCTTGAAGCCAGGAGGCGGAGGTTACAGTGAGCTGACATGGCGCCACTGCACTCCAGCTTGGGCAACAAGAGTGAAACTCTGTCTCAAAAAAAAAAAATAGTGATTTCTCATTTCTCTTTTATATGCTGGGATGTTTCCTTCAAGCCCTCCTTCATCTTGCACATAAATCCCTCTTTTTTACCTTCCTTTGCATCCTCAAATACTTACCTGTCTGAAGGGAAGCACAGTTCTCCAAAGCCTGTTGGTTTGCAGCAGCTGCAATTAAAAAAAGACTGTGTGGAGTTCAAGAGTGTGTGTGTGTGTGTGCGTGTGTGTGTGTGTGCGTGTGTGTGTGTATGTGTGTGTGTGTTTCAGAAGGAGGGAGAAGGGAAGTTGTAATGGCCAGGTAGGAAACCCATACCTATTCTCCATCAGCTCTATCTGAATCTGCTTTGGTAATAGCTGGGCCTTGTCTTCAGGGCTGCAGTTACCATGACTTTACAGGTTTTTGCAAATTTAGCTCCCAAAAGATGTTGCCTCCTTGTTGCTTGCCTGTGATTATGGCCTACAGCCGTAACCATGATTTCCAGCTGACTTGACAGTAGTTCAACCTAATTGCAGGCAAAAGAACTCCACATAATGTAGGTAGGGACCTCATAATGGGCTCTGTACAATCACACAGCCCTGGGGCCAATCCAGGCTTTAGCTCTGTGAGTCTAAACAAATTGCTTATTCTCTGAGCCCTTTTGTATATGTGTCTGTAATATTGGAATAAAGATACAGACTTCATGATATTGTGGAATTACGTGAGCTGAGGTATATAAAGGGTGTGGGTAAGAGTAAGCTCGGTAAACAGTACAAATTCATTCCACTTTTGATTAGCTTCTTCTCTCTCCTAGTAGTAACAGAGGCTGCAAGATACAGAGGAAAATGGAAAACACATCTTTGTTAGTATGCCCTGTTCACTCTTTCTGTCCCACTTTTTTTATATTCTCTTGCTGTGGGAGGGCTGAAGGTCTCAAGATGAATGAGGGAAAATGCAGATGAAAACACGTTCTTAAGCGAAAATTTTAAGAGTAACAACCATACCTGGCCTAGAAACTTCCCTTGAATTCACATTTTAAAAAATCATAAATGGCCTTTGTATATTCTTTTTTGTTTTTTTGTTTTTTTTTGAGACTGAGTCTCGCTCTGCACCCAGGCTAGAGTGCAGTAGCATGATATCAGCTCACGGCAACCTCCACCTCCCAGGTTCAAGCGATTCTCCTGCCTCAGCCTCCCAAATACCTGGGACTAGAAGTGCCTGCCATCATATCCAGCTAATTTTTGCATTTTTAGTAGAGATGGCGTTTCACCATATTGGCCAGGCTGGTCTCAAACTCCTGACTTCGTGAACCACCTCGTGAACCACCTGCCTTGGCCTCCCAAAGTCCTGGGATTATAAGTGTGAGCTACTCCACCCGGCCAGCCTTTGCATATTCTTATCACTTATATTTGAATGATATCCAAACAAACTTCCTAGATAAAATTTCTAAGTTCAAGCTTTGGAAATGTGTTCCTGTGACCACTTATACCCAAAAAGAGGTTGAGGGAGGGGGAAGGAAGGAAAGTACCCTGGATCCAAAAGTTCAGGGTAGTTTTACAACACTTTGACAACGCTTACTTGCCCTGATCACAGCATTTGCTTTCTTTTACCAGCAATTTATCTAAGTTCATGGCATTACACGTGGAGTGGCAGGATTTATGGAGCAGTTTAGATGCGATCAGATGCTTTACCTAAAAACAACTCTAGGAGTTGTTTGAAAACAACAGGAGACACACAAGTGAAGTGAATAGACATGCCCTTTAATGAGCATATATTCAAAATCAGGTTGTGATGGGTGTTATATTAGGACCTTCATTTTAGCATTACTTAAGTGGGTAAAATGTGCAGAGGAAATTTCTTTGGCCACAGAGTCCATCGTCATATACATTTGCTAGATCCAGCTGTATTTCCTAAATGCTGAACATATTGTTCTGGCTGTGTATAGTCTTGGCGTCCAGCACTGCTGTGCATTCCCAAGCACCAAAGAGCACGAAGCGCAGCAGTAGCTTTCCCTAAAAGGCCTGTAAAGCCATGACTAGTTTATTCTCTCAAAGATCCGAGGTACTTGTTAAAGAATGGGATCTGCTGCAGCTGACGTGGCTCTGAGTTAAAAGTGTCGCAGCACATTCTTAGGGAGACAGAGTTCCTTTGACTAACAGCCTCCATATTTGTCAAAACTACTGTAAGCCAAAGGTTAGCAGGAGCATCTGGCAGCACAAAACCAAGTCTACAGAGCTAAAGTTAGCACTAGCACAGGGAGTCCAATGCCTGCTACAGCTTACTCTCCTCCACTGCTTGGTCTGGGTAGGAATTTAGACTACGCTGGGTGTGTAAAAACAGAGCGGAAACCTGGGTGATTCTTCTACTTTAGGAATGAGATGCCCAACCCTTTTTGGAACAAATGATGTGGTGGAATGTTTGAAAACATTTGTTTTCACTTATTATATTTTTTAAATTTAAAAATGAGAGTTTAGGTAGCTCAGTTTAAGATATCCAAAATCTCATAGACACAGAAACATTAAAAGGTAAGTCCAAGATCAAATGGCACAGGAAGGCAGTGGAGACATTAACCCAGGCTGAGAAAAGAGGGAGGCAATGGTGGCACCACGGGGCCGCTACAGGTTTCCCTGGGACCGCAGATAACTCTGCAACCTGATTAACTAGACATAAAGCATCCAGCTAGCCTCATCACACACCTTCACTTTGAGTCGCTGTGGCATGGGAGGATTGGCACACACGTTTTCTAGAGGACATGAGGCCTGAATCAAGGTTGAGAACGCAAACTAAATAAATGGGGAGGTGTCATTCTTATAAAAGGTTAGAATCCAGCTTTCGCCGAGGCCGAATACCTCTGATGTCTCTGCTTCATGTGTGTTGAACACAGTAGATATCAAAGCATCTGATATTTCAAAATGCACTGTGGCCTACCTCTGACTCTGACCTAAAGAGGGAAAGAAATAATTTATAAGCATGGCAGATCAAAGAAAAAGAGAATTTGTCCTAGCAAAAGTCCTGAAAGGTGATCCTTTTGGATACAGAATTTTCATTTAAAGAGCTTTATTTTAAGTAACTAGTTAAGTGTTTAGTTACAGGTATATCTGCCACCGTTCTGTTTTGTTCTTGAAAGAAAGGAAAAACAGGAAGCTATCTAAATATTTGTCCAACAGTAGCACAATGTATGATGGAATAATTTACAGTCCTTAAAAAGTGATTTTATGGAATATTATAGAAAGATATAATGACATTATTCAGTAAAAAAAAAAAAAGCAGATTGAGAGTCATGCTATGAAAGACATGACAAAGAGGAAAAAAAGACAAAATATTTAAAAATCATATTGGATAAAGAACTTGTATCCAAAATACCAAAAAAAAAAAAAAGACTCGTAAAACTCAACAAGAAACTAAAACCCAATTTTAAAATGAGCAAAAGATCTGAACAGACACATCACAAGAAAATATATCGATGGAAAATAAACATATAAAAAGAGGCTTAACATCATTTGTCACTAGTGAAATGCAAATGAATACAACAGTATGAAGCCAGTAGACATCTATTAGAATAGCTGAAATCCAAAGAACTGATAGTACAAACCGCTGGCAAGAAAGCTAAGCAACAAGAATTTTCATTCAATGCTGGTGGGAATGCAAAATGATATAGCTACTTTAGACGACAGCTTAGCAGTTTTTTACAAAGCAAAACATAGTCTTATCATATGATCCAACAATTAGGCCTTTAGTTATTTACACAACTGATCGGAAAATATATGTGCATGCACATGAAAAATTCACATGAAAATATTTGTAGCAGCTTTATTTATAATTGCCTAGAAGAAATTAATATGCTTTTTAATAGGTGAATGGATCAATACACTGTGATGCATATATATAATGAAATAATATTTAGCAATAAAAAGGAATGAGCTATCAAGCCATGCAAATATATGAATAAATCTTAAATGCATATTTCAAGCTGAAATAAGCCAGTCTGAAAAGTTTGCGTACTGTATGATCCAATTTTTATGACATTCTGGAAAAAAAAATAAAACTACATAGACATCAAACACATCCATAGTTGCCAGGGATTTGGAAGAGAGATGGTCAAACAGGTGGAGCATGGAAAGTTATTTTTTTGGATGGTGAAACTCTTCTATCTGATATTGCAATGGTAGATACTTAACACTGCATTTGTCAAAATCTATAGAATTTTACAGCACAAAGAGTAAAACTTAAAGCACGTGAATCTTCAAAAGCCATTTAGGAGACCAGGGGATCCCAGGATGGAATGCAGACTATGAAAAAGGAATTTCCATTAGAAATGTATAAAATGACCTCAATGAAGAGAGTGGGGGTGAAGTGCCAAACTAAATAACTCTTTGGAATGAGTGGAAAGTAAAACTGTACATAAGCACTGTACTTTAGTTGGTAAAATTATTGCCCGTGAGAGTAGGGGTTAACAATTCTGAAACCACCATATGTGCATACTAGAATTGAACAATCAAGTAAATAAATGGCAGATGGTGGAAACTATGTTTCTCACTGTTGGAGCGGGAGTTTACAGAGAAGCAAGAAAATAAGTCATAACGCTGCATATAGTACTGGATTAGAGTTGGAGATATCAGCATGAATTCATATTTAGTTTAATATAGATACAAATGGATATGTAGGAAGAAATAATTAAAGACATGTTTGCATACATCAGTTAGTCTACACATATATGTTTTCTTGCTCTGTTAGCTGAGAGAGCCTCAAAGCAACAAATTCAAGTACCAATGAGCCCACTCAGTGCCCAGATCTTGGTTTCTAATACCATTCTCCAATAAAAGAATCTGGAGCTCCTTGGAGAAATGGCTGATTTCAGGTCAGGCAGGGAGAATATAAATCTGAAGCATCTTGTAAGTGCCAGAAAGTAGAAATTGCTCAAGAAAACCCACAGCAATGGGGCTTGTCAAACGGATATAGAAGCCAACTGAAGAGCTCCCAATGGCCACACCTGGAACAATTGAGCAAAAAGATAAATAACAGTGTTGGATTATAACCCATAATATTGAATAAATATTTACAAGTTCATATTGTTACAAATAAGTGATTAAATCCCCCTTAAGGAGTAGAACATAACTTCCTATTCCTTAATAGTGGGCTCCATGCAGTGACTTTCTTCCAAAAAGCACAGTATGAAAAGGGGCACAGAAAAAGAGTAACTTCATTGTGAAGAGAACTGACAAGCTACCTCAGTCAGATGATCAAGGCTGACACCCACAGTGATGTCATGCTTATAGTATGTATCCTTGATATGTTGGGATGATAATGGCACTTCTGGGTTTCTCCTTCCCAAAATTCAGAACCCCAGCTAATCAAGAAAAAAACAAACAAATCCCAAATGAGGGACATTCTACAAAACAACCAACCATTATTATTCAAAGTTGTCAAAGTTATCAAGAACAAGGAAGTCTGAAAAATTATTATAATCTAAGCAAACTAAAGACACACAATAATT